ACACAAACAGAAAACATGAATTCAATACAGGTCAACAGTAATGCCTTTAAACACACATGCAGCATGTACATAATATATATACAGTATATGATAGCATGGGGAACAAGGAGGTAGAATAATCAAGAGAATAATATAATAATAATAATAATAATAATAATAATAATAATAATAATAATAATAATAATAATAACCCAAAGTTGAAAGATCTGTTAAAGACACTTCATGGTAAATGTGGTCCTATTTTTTAGATGAATCAGTTGAATGCAAAATCTGGAAAATAAACATAAATAAAAATGATATAAAAACAGATTATTGCGCAATAAAACGATGTCAAGGACACAAGAAATTCTGCAAAATAATTGAAATATATGTGCAATTTTTAAGTCACCAAGATCTGTATGCGTTAAAGGTAGGGTAGGTAAGAATGGAGAAACCAGCTCGAATTTGAAAGTACGCAGCCGAAAAAAATCAGCCCCTTCCTTCAGACTTCCTTACAGAGCCCCTCCTCCAACACACACAAACGCGCACATGACCAATGAGGGCACGAGATAAGTTTGTGCACAGATGGAAGGCTGACAGGCAGGTAGGCCATCCAGTTATTTTAGCCCGGCCGGCTCAGATGATTGGTCGTGCTTTTTACAGTACTACGGCTTCCACAGATGAAATATTTGTATGGATTTTTTGTCAAAGCACTTAAGATATTCATTGCTATCGGGATGTTAAGAGCATTCCATGGAATATAACAAAAAGTGTATCTTGAGCCGGTTTCTCAAACTTACCTACCCCACCTTTAAAATAGGAATACTTCTTGCACCCCCGGTTGTATAATGGACCTATTTTGGCAGAAAAGAGAATAACGAAGTACCATAAATCATGTACACTAGTATGTTGTACTCAAACAGTTTCTGAGCTGTGTAAGACAGGGCAGCTCATATATTATAGAAAGGGAAATTGCACAATTATAAAAATAAGGTTTCTGTTTTACTATGATGATGGCCGAGGCAGATGATTGGTCGTGCTTTGAACAGCGCCACAGCTTCCACAGATGACATGTTTTTTTAATGTATTTATTGTCAAAGCATTTAATATATTCATTGCTATCGGGATGTTAAGAGCATTCCATGGAATATAACAAGTGTTTCTGAAGTGAATTACCTACCCACCTTTAATGTCATACTCAATTGGTCTATTATTATTTTTATTTATTTTTTCAATGCAACACCTGGAAGAAAAGTGATTACAAAAATCCTACTTCCATCGATTAAGCATTTGTATTTCTTATGAAAGGTATTTAATAGTAATGTAGTTCTTATTTTAGATGAATGAGTTAAATGCCATTTAAGGAACCTTGCGTTATTGTGGTTTCCAGTC